GGGCTTGAAGTCAGGGATTCTTCTATTCAGGAAGGAAAGTTCAGTCTCCGGTATCAAAGTTACATCGGGAATGATCAGAAAAGGGTTTGAGATCCAAACACTGAAACCTGGTGTGTTCTTCCCGTGGTTCTGTTGCATTGCTCGGGGAGGTGTTGGGGGAGGGTGAGCTAAACTAGAGAGGGGAAAATAACACAGCTGGGCTCTGGAATCTGGTGAAGAAAGGGCTGAGGGAGAATGGGGACGTAAGGAAATCGTGAATGCTGTAGAGGAGGAAGGGGAGAGAGAGATTCTTCACTGTTTCTCAAAATAGAGAAGGGCGTGCATCTCTTGAAAAGACAGCAGTGAGATTTTAGTGAAGCAGAGGGACAGTAAATCAGCAAGAGATGCTCTTCACCACTGAACTCCGTTAATTTGGGAACGTATGGAACAATCTTCATCAAGAAAACCTCGTCCCCTCTTGTCTGTTTAGAGAAGGAGCGATTCTACTTTTCTCAGCTCCCAGCACTACCAGCTTCACCGTGAAAAGGAGAGCGCTGGATTTGACCCCAGCCCGGCCCCACCTCTCCCGGCGCTGACAGCGGCACCGGAGCGGCCGCTCCCGACGGGACGGGCCCGGGGTAGGGCGGGGGCGGCCGCGCTGCGCCTTTAAGCCCCGGCCGTGATGTCAGCGCCGCTGGGCTCCGCTCCGAACCGTCCGCTGCGGCCCCGCCGGGACCCCCCCGAACCCCCCTCGGCATGGGAAGCCTCCAGCTCCAGGACTTCGCCGCCGGCTGGGTGGGCGGTGAGTGCTGCGGGGCTGGGGGCGAGCAGGAGCGTGCGCGGGGGGTGGCAATCAGACGTGGCATGTAGGAGCTGTGCGTCGGGCCGGGGATGTTGAGGGGGTGCGGGGTGCTTTTTGCTCCAAAAAAACAGGTCAGTGGGCGCAGTAATGAAGTTCAAGCAGCGGCAGCAGCATCTCGCTGCACATTTTTGGACATCGGTGCCGCCTCCGCGTCTTCCCTCGCCCCGTGGGCTCCGGTCCGGGGGCAGCAGCCGGTGTTCGGCCGGGTCCCGTCGCAGCCAACCCGCACTCCGAAGCCGCGCACACCCCCGGAGAGTGAGTGCCCCTCGGTGCCCCCGCGCTCCAGGTGCAGCAAACAGGCAGCGGGGAGGGAAGGGGCAATGACCCGGTTTGCAAAAAAGAAAAATGCTGATCGCAGCCGTCAGGAATAGAGATAAGAGAAGGGAAAGGAAAGGCAAAGGGCTGTCGGGACGCTCGCGCTGTGCTGTGTCTGAGAGTTCCGAACTGCGCGTTCCTGCTGAGTGTGACAGGTGGCAAAGCATGCGGGGACGGGCAGGGCGTGGGGCTGAGTGCAGTGCTTACAGCGATTTCCAGCCTTGTGCTGACGCCAGGCTCAGGACAGAGGGGTGAGGTGTCTCACAGACCCTGAGGAGCCACGCTGGGTTAATAAGAAAATCTAATAAAACCAGAGTTTCTGCCAGAAGGCTGTGTGCTGGTCTTGTGCCATTGCTGTATACCCTGAGTACAAGGCAGGGCATCACAGGTGAACCAACACTCAGCTGCCAGCCTGGCTGTGGCAGCAGCCAGTCTTAGAGTCATAGAGTCATTCAGGTTGGAAAAGACCTCTAAGATTTCCATGTGTAACACCAACCCATCCCACTGACCGTGTCCCCCAGGTGCCACATCTCTCCGATTCTGGTACATTCCCAGGAATTGTGAATCCCCCACCTCCCTGGGCAGCCTGTGCCACTGCATCACCGCTCTTTTGGAGAAGATGGGTTTTTCCTAATATCCAATGTGAATCTTCATATATAGCACCAGGCTGAAGGTGGTCTCAGGTCAAGGTCTGGGACAGTGGGGATGCTTTAATGTTGCATTCTGAGTGAAGTCATAATGTGTTGACCAAGGGTATTGTGCTCTTTTCAGTCTGACTGCCCTACAGGTGAGAAATTACATCAGTCCACATCAGTCCTTTAGAAACCTTGGGAAAACCCAGTGAAGGGGATGTGGGTTTGCACTGAGACCTGCAGGTGTGGAGGCAGCACATATTAACCACCATCTCCACAAAAACACTGAAAATTGTGTAGGAGGCACAGAATCCCACACCTGGCCAATTGTGTGTGGATCACTCACCCTGTAGGAGCAAGGGGAAAGCAGTGGTCTGTCCTGCTGCAGAGGTTTTGGGAGCAAGTGGTGTGAGGAGATGGGCAGGGTAGTGTCAGGGAGTGAGGTAGTTTCTCCTAAGGAAACCACAGGGAATGTGGACCCCAGAGACTGATATAGAGCAAGGTTCTCTTTATCTGAGTCATCCTGATGGGTACCCCTAGAAGCTGCTCTCAGTAAAGAAGGGGAAATACAGTCCCCATTAGCAGTGGGCTTTTGTGTGTTGCTGTAGGAGGAACCTTCAAGCTGACCTTCACCATATTGGAGCTTTGCAGTTGACACAAGTGCAAGGGAAATGGAGGTGGTTCATGGACAGGGTGTAGAAACACAGCATCTCCTCTGGTTGCTCCTTTGAGCTGTACAGGTGATGAGTGCAGGAGGATGTTCTGGTGAAGAGGTGTAAGTGCTTCTGCCTGGCCCCACAGAAGGAGCAGTATGGCTCAGCCCAGGGTGGGATTTCTCCTGGAAATCTCTCCTTCTCCCATTTAAGCCCATTGTTTCCTATTCCAACACATGAAGTTCTTCAGCACCTTGCCTAATTCTCTGTTTTCATCCCCAGGAGCTGCCAGCGTGGTTGTGGGCCATCCCCTGGACACTGTCAAGGTAAAGCACTGATCCTTGCTCTCACATCACCGCTCCAAAAGCCCGGGGTGGGGAGGTGGCCTCCTTTGGGGTAATGCTGCAAAGACCTTCACTTTTTTCTTCACTGCAAGGCAGAACTTAGCCTGGGTAGAAAGGCTGTCATAGACCTGGGTGTTTCTTCTCTCCAGTTTTGGAGTGGCATGGAGGGCTGCCCTATACATGTAAGTTCCTCAGGTGGAGATTAATACTGAAAAGTAAAGCTGGCCTTACATCATGTCGAGTTTACCAAACAGTTTGTTGAACTTTGCCACCTAAAAAGCATTCAAGGGGCAGTGAGAGTGCTGTGTTTGTTTAGTTCCAGGCACATTTCTACGTGTTTTCCTAGCTGTGAGAGCAGAATGCTGAAATTGGGATCCCAGGCTATGACAGATAGCATTCACTATTCCTGCAAGGAAAATATTCCTCAGAGGGAAGGATTGAGAGAGAAAGAAAACGTTGGCTAGATGGTTCACCAGCCCCCTGGTGCATTGCAGACATTAACACCACCTGCCCCAACTGAGCTTACTGTCATGCAGAGCCATGGAGGAGGATGGAAGACTCCTTTCTTCCTCATTTCTCCTTCTTACAGTGTGCCAGGCACCTCTGGGCTCTCTCCTTGCTCTGCTCCCATGTTGGCATCAGGCTTGAGGCCTTCACTGCCAGGCTGGGGGGAGTTTGGCAGCAGCTGATGGTGGATTCCTTAGCACTGCACTGCATTTGGGGGTGCCAAGAGCCCATCCTTCATGCCTGTAAATGCAAGTGTCAGGCTGCCCCTGCTGTGCTTGGCTTGGATGTAGCTTGGGAATACCAAGCAGGCAGAATTGCTGTCTTTCCAAATGTAGGGGATGGGAGGTGAAGAGCCAACACCATTTTTTCCTGGCTTTGCAAAGCCTTGAGTAATTTCACCTTTACTCGCTTTTCAACTTCCACTTTGCATTCATTTCCATGGGACTTTGTTCTGTTTCTGGGTTTCACCTGAGAGCCTTTGTGTTCCTCAGGAAAATGCACTTTTCTATTACATTTTAATGAGCACACATGTGCTGTTATCAGCTAACTTAGAGGTTCCAGTAGGGTTTCAGTGCCAGGTGCTCATGGCTCGTCCAGGGCCACAGAGCACTTTGTCAGGACACTCAGTTGTCCTCAGTTATTCAAGACATGTATTAACTTGAACCTCTAAATACCTGGTTACTGTGTAAAAGAAGAAAAATAAAACAGAAACAAGCCCATAGTGGCAAAATAGGAACCTGTGGGCTGCATGCAGGCTTGGACTGTGCCCATTTGGCTCAGGACCAAATGTTTGGTTCAGTCACCCTGCTTTCCACACACGTGAGTTCCTCTGGGCTTTAAACACTCAAATAAGGCTCCTGCAAGTGTCATCCTGCAGGAAAAAATCTCTGATCTCTGTGCAAAGGTTTAATGGCTGAAGAAATAGAATGGGCTTTCCATTTCCTCATGCACCTCTGAGCCCTGAAATGCATCAGCTACTGTAAGGGTTATCTTACTGCAAACTTGTGAGCAGCTTGAGCAAAAGAGGAGCTAAATGTCTTTGTGTTTATATATATATATATACATATATATACACACACACACACGAGAAGGGAGAGGGATGTTGAATGATACAGACGTGTCATTTCTCACAGCTGTTGTAGGCATGTTTTGGAAAGCATATAGCCATTGCTTTCCAGAAACAAAATCTCTTTGTTGGAAATGATGTGAAGATGTACTTTTGAGAGGAGCATAAAGAATTTCTGAGATGGAGTTCCATGAATTAGGCCCTGATTAGTATTTCTGTGTCTTAAAAGCAGCACCCTGGGAGTCTCCCAAGGGAGCTCTCCTCCATCAATGCACCCCAACTTTTGCTGAGTGCCACATCACATCGCACCCGAACTTCCCCATAAATCACAGACTTGCAGACAACGGTGCTGCACACCGGTGTGAGCGCTCTGCTGGGCTGGGGTGGCTGTTCTGGGCTGGAGATTTGATAGTCATTGTTTCCAGATGTTGCAGGAAGCGTCAGCTCTCTGCTGAGCCCAGCTTCTGGCAAAGTTCAAGGGGAGTGGATGTACATATATCTTGTTTTATTGCTCTGTTTTCTTTACAGCTAAGTGAGGATGCACTCTCAAAGCAAAGTACGTGTTGTTTACACAGCACAAGCTTTCACCCAGCTGGAAGTGTGGAGTTTTAATTGCTTTTTGTGAATGTGTTTTGCAGACTCGTTTGCAAGCCGGACAGGGATATGGAAATACACTCAACTGCGTTCTTACTGTGTACAGAAATGAGTCTGTAAGTACTTTATCTTGCTGGAAACGTGTTGGTAGGGAATGCAGAAAGACAAGTAAATAAATACATGAAGCGATTATACAAAATCAGTGTTGATACCAATGGTTACGTGAAGACCAGCAAAGCTGGTGTGCTTCCACCCAATGCCAGATGAAAGAGGAGAGACTGCAGCCTCCTCCTGCTGTCAGTTCCCTGCAGAGGGCAGATGTGATGAATGGCACTGCCCACATCTCCACATGGGTAACACCTGCCTTGGTTTGACTATGTATGCTGGAAAAGCTGGTGGCATTTTGCTGATTTTGGGCTGCAAGCTATGCTAAGTTGCCCTCATACCTCCTGCTCCCTTCCCATCTAGGTGGCTGGCTTCTTCAAAGGCATGTCCTTCCCGCTGGCCAGCATTGCTGTTTACAGCTCAGTGGTGTTTGGTGTCTTCAGCAACACGCAGAGGCTGCTGGGCCAGTTGAGGCATGGGGATGCATCCCATGCACCAGCACTGGTGGATGTGGCTCTTGCCAGCACAGTGGCTGGGTTCATCTCCGTCGGCATCGGCACGCCTGTTGACCTGGTGAAGATCAGGCTGCAGATGCAAACGCAGACATACAGCACAGGTAGGAAGGCAAGTTTTCTTTCTCCTTTGCTCTGCAGGTCTTCTGTGTATTTGGGATCCTGGTGTAGATTTGCTTTCCATAGCCACTGCTACCACGTACAGGGCTGTGTGAGAATTGCAGTGGGCAGCACCAATACCTGTGGTCAAATCAATTTTAGCGAGAACCATTGGTGATGGGTGGATGGTTGGACTGGATGATCCCGTGGGTCTTTTCCAATCTTGGTGATTCTATGATGATCTTTCTTCCTCAGGATGGTTTTTCTCCTTTTTTTTTTTAGACCGTTTTTCACCTTCCCAGTTAATGAGCCTGTTGCCACAGATTCTTGTTTCTGTGCAAATGAGGGGTATCTGAGGATGTATCTCTCAGGGATGCCAACTGCACTTCCCAGGGATGCTTCTGGCTCTCAGGCTGGCTTTCCAGATCTGCCAGCATTACAGCGGACACCCTCTTCTGTCCACATGTCTCCCTTTATAACCATGTTGCCTGCGTGGCTGTTCCCATTGCCCAGAGCTGCCAGGTCTCCTGGAGAGCCCACCAACAGCACCATGGCTGCTTTGATAAAATTATATGATGCCTGTTTTTAAAAGCTTCGTTGCAGCTTAGCAACCTAATGCTTTTCCAAAATCACTCCTCTGCATTGGAAGGGTCAGATGCTGAAGGGTCAGATTGGAAAGGTCGAGGCTTTCAGAGGTGCATCGTGGCACCAGATGTGGAAACCTATGAAAATTGGGCACGTAGCCTTCAAGTCATTTGGAAGTTCCACTGAATACATACGCATTGGGCTGCATGAATTGCATTTAAGAAAAATAGACCTGAAGTATCCAAACATCTATTAAAACTAGAACCTAAGTCTTCTTTCTAAAAACTTCTTTTCCCAGAGTGTCTATTGATCTCAAAAAAACGATGGCAGTGATCTCTGTCTGTTGGGTAGTAGGAGGCTTTTGCAAGGAACTGTAGTGATATAGCTATTGTATTGTAATGCATCTTTTTTTAAAAAAAAATTCCTTTTTCTTTTCTTTTTTTTCTCCAGCCGATGTTAAACTGAAGCCTACAGTTCCTGGCTTTCCTGTGTATCGAGGCCCTATTCACTGCTTTAGGACAGTCCTACAGAAAGAAGGGATAGCAGGGATATACCGAGGCATGGGAGCGATGCTGCTGAGGGATGTTCCTGGGTACTGCCTGTATTTCATCCCTTACACGTTTTTCTGTGGTTGGATTACCCCTGACGGATGCATTTCCCCTAATCCTGCTTCCATCTGGCTTGCAGGGGGTGTTGCAGGTAAACGCCTTTTGCCCCACAACATTGGCCAAAAAAGGACAGGAGTGTCTTGGGGCTGGGATCCAAGGCTGGCTTGGGGCTGCCTGTCAGGAGGGGATATGAGGTTGTTGACTTTTTCCTCCCCCAGGGCCGTAGTGGAACACCAATGCACACCTGCCTGGATGGCTGCAATGTGCACCTTGCCATGCCCGTGTGTGCAGATTCACTCATATGCTCCCTACCAACTCATTTGTGGTTTCTAAGTTGCAGATCCCTAAAGGCAGATCAATCTTTATGTTGAGTAATGATTAAAACCCCCTTTATCTGTTCTTGCTGTAAATAAATGGAGCCGTGGCCCATCTGGACAACTTCTCTAGTATGCCCCCAACACTCACATAGATCCAGACTTGCTCTTGTCAGTCCAGCTGTGCCATATATTGCAGTCACATGCAAGGAAATTTCATAACCCGGGACATCTCTCTGCAAGGGAACAACGTGATGTGTCTGGGGAAGTGGGAACAACTGGAGACTATTTGCTGCACGTGTACAAGGCTGACACGTAGCAGCTCTGTTCTGTTGGAAGCACCACTGAGCTTTTAGAGAGGCAAGAATGTCCCATCTGACTGCAGGCTAATTGGTTTAAATTGAGGGTTTCTGTACGGGAATGATGAGATAGCTGTGTGGAGCCTAACCCTGGATGCATGGAAAGAAACAGCCTCTTAACTCAAAATATTGTCTGAGAACTTCAGATTTCCTGACATGGCCCCAGATGGCAGCACCCTGCAGTTTGGGTGGTCTGTTTCCACCAAACTGTGTCCCTGTCTGCCTGCTGGGCTGCCTGCATTTGATTACCCACGTAACCCCCCAGATCTCAGTGCTTCTTTCTGCAACGGGGAACTTTGCTCCCAGAAATGCAGTTTCTGCACCTGAGCAGGGTGAATGCCCTGAGAGCCCCATCATGGTGCAGCAGGCGAGGCATCAAGCTCCAATTTGCTGGCCTGCAGCCAGGGCAATACTGAGAAGTTGTTCAAATACCACGTCATGGCCAAAGCCCAGGTGTGTGTATCGGGATAAAGAAAGGATTTGCTTCTGTATTCTTCTAGGAGCCATTTCCTGGGGGACTGCCACTCCAATGGATGTTGTGAAAAGTCGGCTCCAGGCTGATGGAGTTTATCTAAACAAGTACAAGGGGATTCTTGACTGTATCTTGCAGAGCTACCAGAACGAAGGGCTAAAAGTAAGTAGTGTTTGAAGGAAAATCTGGGTGTCGGGCATCTGCTTGTTAGTTGGGAAATACAATGGTTGTTATGAAGCCATCTGCAGGGTTAAGAGACAGCTAAAGCCAGTTACTTCCCAATTATAGTAGTGGCAGTAGGTAATTATAGCATGGATTCTTTCCAAATCATAATAGTAAGAGCAGTAATCTGCAGTGCAGACAGGAAAAAATGGGTGACCAGGGGTCATGATCCTTGGTGGTACTAAATTAAAATTACACTGTTGCCATGGTCCTTAACTGTGGAAATCATTTGACTTCTTGTAAGTTAGAGGTGGAAAATACTCTTAAATCAGAATTGCTTCAGCTTCCAATGTGAAGAAGGGCTATGTGCCAAAAAAACACCATTCTTTTTCTGACTTTATCTAGTGTAATAAAAGTTGTTTGTTCTGTCTGCAAACCTTGTCTCAATTAGATGTGAATGGCAGAGAACCAGAGATTGCAGCTTCATTGCACCACCGATGCGTGCTTATGGGAAGTGGTGTCTTCTGATATGAAATTCCATCTGCATTTAAGTTGTCATCAAAATGTCGTGTGGGCTCTGAGCTCCAAAGTGTTGGTTTTCACCTGTTGAGGAAAGAGTAACAAGCTGCAGAAAGGAAACTAATGTACAACTAATTGTACAAAATTGCAAGTGGGTGGGATTTCAGCATTTGGCCACGTGCCTCTTCGTTACGCCAGCTGTCAGAAGAGCTTGCAGCCTGGTTTGGGTTTGGCTGCTGCGTGAAGGGAGGCGCATTGCTATAAACCACAACACCTGGAGGGCTGCTAAGGAGTGTGTTTGGTCATCCTCACCTCCATGCTCGCTGTCCTGCCTGAATAATTAGAGTTAATTCAAACACTTGGTGTTCTTGCCTGGGGTCTGCGCAGCTTTGGCTGCTGTTGTTCCTGGCACCTGGACAGGGCGTGCAGGGGGGCTGAGCAAAGCGGTGTGACCTTTCCATGGTAAGAAAAATCCTTTTGTACTTCGGGAGATGGCTGACCCAGGCCTGAACGTTTTCATGCTGGGATTGAGGAGCAGCATTCTCAATGTGTCACGCACAAAAATGGACATACAGCACTTTTCTTTCTTTATAGCCGGGTGTGTTCACTCTGATGAGAAAAAATTTACCCCTCTGGGCTTTTCTTCATAAATCTTCATTATTACTTAACTTGGCTCTCTCATGTTACCTGATGGATACTAGAAAGATTTGAATTTCCTTCCAGAAAATTTTGTCTTTCCAGACCAAAAAACCCACTTCAGGAAAATCAGGTGATATCCCAGATATTCAAACAGCGCAATTTCACTTTGCAAACTCCATCCTAAACAATGTGAACGCAATGTGTTTAGATTCTGTCTCATGTGGGAGCACTGAGGCCTGGATGGGAGTTTGCCTTGCTGATGTTAATTCTCTTGTCTGGTGTTTGGACTGCAGTGATTAGCCAGAGTGGTTAATGGGTTGATTTTGTGAGAAGGACAAATTGTTCCTTTACTCCAAATCCTCTAAAAGGAACAGCATGTGAGCTGCCACCTTCTCCAGTTCCCAAATGTCTTCATAGAATGGCTTGGGTTGGAAGGGACATCAGTGACCATCAAGCTCTAACCCAACTGCTGCAGGCAGGGCCACCGACCTCCACATTTAATACTGCACCAGTGACCAGTATCTTCCAAACTCATAGACCCAACTCCAGAAACTTGGACATTTGTTATATAAAAGCAGCAGCTTTCATGTGGTACCATGGGGTCTGCATGATTGCTTGTGTATGCAATGGGAGGAAGGAACAGTGGGGAGCTAGGAGGAGCTCTGCTCTCCACCAGTGGCGTGAGGCCTCTGGCTCTTGCTGGCAGATACAGAAGGGGGTCTGTGTACAAGGGATACACAGCAAACTGATGCCAAACCAGCCATTTCACCATTGCTTTTCAATTCTCCAGTTCATACTTCAGCAAAGTGGGAGAATATCTCCTGAGCAAACCATGGTTGGGTTCTTCAGTAATCCACCATGACTTAGTTCATTGTTTTCTTCTTGGAAAAGCAGTGTATTCCTATACTCTAACCTTTCTCCATCCCCAACAGGTCTTTTTTAGGGGCATCACGATCAATGCAGTACGAGGATTTCCAACGAGTTCAGCCATGTTTCTTGGCTATGAACTTTCTCTCAAAGCAATGAAAAGAGACCAAACTGAGACCAATCCTTAACTTCCAGGTCAGCGCATAAAGACCCTCTAGTTTTTTCCAAAAATTAGAGGATTAATCCTTTAATCAAATAGAACTGCAATGGTAGAGATCCTCTGGAAGTCAGGTAACTTACATGGGTACCTACCAGGATAGTCAAACACTTTCCAAATTTGGATCCATGGGATTTGGAGTGCCAAAATCCATATCAGTGGGATTTTGGTTTCATTCCAGATCTACTGGAATGTTGTTGCAATCCATCCTGATTGTTGTGATTGTCTTGATTGGTGTGAATAAGAAAAGATAATCTGAAAGGACAGTATTGTCTATGATCGTATGAGCTGTGAAATATCATTCTGACTGGTTTGTGCACGGTGTCCTTTTCTCCCTTGATCCATCCACAAAGATGTGAAGCTAAGCCTTTCCAAAGTGTCTTGACTATCAGCTCACAATTTTACTTTCATTCATAAACCCAGGCTTGATTAAAGGAGCAGCATTAAAAATATCTCATTACAGACATTTTTTACCAGCTAAAAACTCCACATTATACTTGGCAGTCTACTATTTTATGTCATATTTCATAAACCTCCTTTGCTCTCATTTTTAAAGCGTTGCCAAGAAGACCTGACCAGTGTCCTCCTTTCCTGATCCAAACCAACAGCCTGGGGGAGGTGAAGCTCGCTGGTTTCACCAAAGACTCCTGGCACTGCAGAAGCCCACAGCGATGGCATCTGCTTTCCCTTCTGCGTGGCCGTGGGCCCTGGAGGGCTCCAAACCTACATCAGCTCAACCAAATCCAAAGACCATTTTATTTTGAAATCTCTCACTCTGTTGTCTAAAGCACTTTACTAATTCCCATGGTGCGTTGCACTTTTTCACTGATGACATTTTCCTCACTGAGCTGAAAGAACAACTTTCCTTACCTGCACAGATGAGACACACCCAAAATGACCCCACATGACATGAGTTGAGTGAATGCCTTTTGCATGATGGCATGCATAATGCTCTTCTCCTTTGTGAACAAGAACCTTCTGCTTTGGAAAGAGAAGGGATGAGCACTTTGGGTACACGGGTATGTTTTGTGTAGGAATGTTTGGATTCCTATCAAATCCCGACTTGCTTTCAGCATCAAAGAAGCAGATGGCTGTACCCATGTGAATGATTGCTCCTGTTTTGCATCACAGAATTCCCCACTTGTACCACAGTGTAACCCGTTACCTTGTAAAGAGATGACTTTTACTTTATTATCTAAGATATAAATTAAATTGGGAAACATCAAGATATTAAATTCAGGTTCTAAGCTGCTCTTTTTCTTCAGGAAGTAATAAAACTAACCCTCGCTTCATACAGATGGCTGCCTATTGATTGAACTGACTTTTGCTGTGTAGCCCTCCAGGGCCCTGCTAGAAGCACATGTGTGTTCCTGATAGAGCATCTGATTTTGGAGATGGGACAGTCCAGCTGTCAAATCTTAATGACTGCCTTGCTTTGCACTCTTGAGCAGATACCACCAAAGGAAGAGTCTCTCTGAAGTATGCAAAGTCTGTCCCAAGGCATATTCTCTCAAATACAAAGACCAGCTTTAGATCTCCAACTCTGCTGCAATCCCACTGAGATGACTGTGGGGCACCCAGGTCTCTCTTTGGTCTACCTCAGTCTTTCAGCTCATCTGAAGACCTCTTACATTGTGATTATTTCTCTCTATGCTCATGAATACCTCCACTCTTTATTTCCTAAGCTTGGAGCTTCTTATGCCAAAAAACTAAGCAGAAGTGCTGGGCCAGGAGGACTCTAGTGGTAGTAGCAGGAGAGCTGAAGGATCACAAGGGACGTGCAGCATGGTGGAATGGTCTGGAACAATGCTGTCCTCTGGGAAGTGCATGGTTTCCCCCACCCTCTGGAGCAGTGGATAAAGCCCAGCAGATATTCATAAAAACAGCCATCCAATTTTCTTCATAAGAGGAGAAGAAGGAAGAAGCAGCTTGCACGTCCCTGTCCCTCAATGCATAGAATCATAGAATCACAAGGTTGGAAGTGACCTATAAGATCATCTAGTGCAACCATCTTCACATTACCACTGCTACCACAAGCATGGAGGAACTGGTCACAGTACTTGAAGACCTCAGCAGAAATTGCCTACAATCTCAGGCCTGGACCAGTATTTGGAAATGGGCTCCCTGACCACCCAGAGCAGCGTGGGCTCCTCTTTGCTGGGACCTGAATTACAACAACCCGAAGTCTGGTTTCACCCAAAAGCAGCCTGAAGAAGTGTGAGAAACAGCTGCTGTTGCTTCATCTCAGACCTTGTAGGCAAAGAGGCTCACAATGCCTTTCAGCTTGGCAAGAACACAAAGAACTGCTTTTGATAAACAATATATATAACACTGATGAGCCTTCACCTAAGTATTTGTTGCAGGCTACATTTAAGGTGTCAGCTTTTTCATGCTACCTATTTTAATGTGTATACATAGAACTTGTTTTAGATGCATAATGCCTTATGTCTCCAGTGATAACACTTAGGGACTGTATTTTCAATGCAAAGGAAACTGTCAGTTATCTGCCTGTATTATGTTAAATGGACTGTGAATGAATTAAACTGATGAGCTTTGCAATGAGCTGCATACCTGTATGACACTGCCCAGGTTTGAGGCTTTCAGTGCCTCTGGGCGCACGTCCCGTGTTGGCAATGCATGGCGATTTTTCCTGATATCCTTCCTCCAGCAAAACCACCGTTGAGGCGGTGGGGCGCTCAGGATTTACCCATGCAAAGCTCTGCGGTAGGGAGCTGAAAGGAAGAGCTGGTGTTGAAAGGAAAGCACGAAACGTTTAATACGAAGTGGGAAGTAAGCGACTGCATTTGGCCACTTGATGGCATTCTCGTCCAACGCAGGGACCGGTTTGGGCTCTGCAGTCTCTTTCCGTGGCCGCTCAGCCCCAGGCTGCTGCCAGACCAATGCACGCAGTCCTCAAATGCTTTCTTTTTGAGAGATAATATTGATATCGTTCACTGAAAGAGAACAGGATTTCTAAGGGATTCCTTTGGCTGTTTCACGTCCCATGCCAACTGCTTGGCAGTTTATGCACAGAGGCTCCCAGAGCCCCACATTGCTATCACAAAAGCAGTTAAGTGCTGAACTTGGTAAAAAAAAATGAGAAGGGAGACGAGGAGAACCAGGGATATCTATTTCTGTGCTTTTCTTGCCTGGAATACAGAAGAATACTCAGACCTGTCATGCTTTAAACGAGTCTGTAATTGCTTAATTTTCTTGTTGCTGGTGGTGTTCCATCTCTTACAACACCACATATTACTTTACAAGGTGCAGGCTGTTCAGCTGCTTTTCCCAGTTCATATGCTACTTAAAACAATGGGAAAGAAAGGTAACAATAGTTTATCTCCTCCAATCCCTTTCCTACCCCCACTGTCCTTTTTATTAATGAACAAACAGGAACCAATTTCCATTGGTTGAAATTGGCCATTTTTCTGGCCACCAGCCCTGGGCTGCAGGAAGTCATGGGTGCTGGGAGAAGCCCCGTGGGGTGTGAGGTGAGACCAGGCTCAGGTAGGGGGAAGCAGAGGGCCACCTCCCCTTGTGTCCCTTGGTTCTGTGTCCCCACAGCTCCTGGGGATGGTAGAAATTTTGCTTTAGCTAAAGTATTCTTTTGTAGTAGAGGTTGGTATGGTAAAGATTTTTCTCCCACTCCATCAAATTAGCGGAAGACAGGAAAGCCAGTGCTTTTCTTGTGCCTGTGAAGGAAATGTAAAATGTGGATTCAGGAAAAAAATTGTGAGATCTAAAGAGATGAGTGTGAAAAAGTTCAAGCTGCTAAATATTGACTGCCCACGAACCGCTTCCTTTCTCTAAAGCCATCTTCTTCCTATACATCTTCATATAGGAACACACTGATGGTTGCTACCAACTTAGATAAGTTTTATAGAAAGTCTACATCCTTTGGTGGCATCTGAAGGGAATTAAACCATGCAGTGAGGAAATTTAAGCAGTTACAGTGATTTCCAAAAGAGTTTTGCTAAACTGAGTGTTCCACAACAGCTCCAGAGTCAAGCAAACACGTAAGAGCCATACAGATACAGCAGAATGAAAGTGTCTTCTAAGGAGCCTTCAGAGGTCCCGTATGAGCTTTCATAACAACAGATGTAAGGCACTGAATGAAACAAGAAATCCTGATTTAGCGTAACTGAAATACTAAGGCTACAGAATGGCAAAGTACCAAATCTCTGGAAAGAATATGAAGCCTCACTTGAGTTGTAAAGAAAGCAAGAGATAATTTGGGATTATGAAGAGAGTGGTTTGGAGAAGCAAGAAGCTTGCAGCTGGGGCTGTCCTGCTGCCAGCACCTGGTGCTTTGAGGCTGGCACCCACCTGCAGCCACATCTGCTGTAAGAGCACCAGGACAGCTCATCTTCATGGATTGCACTGGTCTGTTCTCCCTTGTTTCAAAACATTTTAATGTAAAATATTTTGCCCATAGCGTAGAAAATCCTGCCAACTGCTGTGGAAGAGGGCCAGCCTATCCTTACTCACGCAACTAGGTGTGACCCAACAGCTGTGCTGACTTCTTTATTAAGTTGTGATCGCCGCCTTTCCATCAAGCAGTCTGCAGGTGGTTTTTCAGTGCTTCCAGTGTGGAAAGCAAACTGCAATGCAGGTAGAGCTGGTGGAGGGCTCCAGCACAAGCGTGGAGTGAAGCCTTGTGCTCTGCATTCCTCCAGGCAAAACCCAGCTGTGGAACGTGCAAGGAAGGGTGAGTGAGATTACGATATGAGAGCTCTGCCATGTTTCTCTGTCCTGATGTGAGAATGCTGAAACTTTAAAATACAGAGATCTGGTGATGTTTACTGACCATTCCTGCTTTCCTCTGCTTGCTGCTGGTTGTGAGATGCAGTTGCAGTAAGCACCACGCCCAGCACAGCTGGCATGCTGCTCTTTGGGCTTTCTGCTTTTAGATGCCTCAGCTCTTGGTAAATACTGTTGCAGCACAGGATGCTTGGCTCCCCTTGCTAGAAAGCCCTGGAAAGTGCCGGTGGCTGTAGTATTGCATGAGACAGGGATGGTTTACAGC